CTTTGTCTTCAAAATAAGGGTGCGTCTTATACACCGGTGCGTCTTATATTCCGAAAAATACGGTATTTAATGATGGAAAAGAAAAATGAGTAAACTTTAAGAATATACGTATCATCACAATCGGGCACTATTTTCTGACGTAGTGAATGAAGTAAAGATGGAGTAGGTTGAGGTTTTATAATACTAGAATTGGGGGTTCGATTCCTGCCGCGGACACAGCTCCGATAGGCCATAATATAGCAGATAAACTAACGGAACAAAATCTACAAAGAGTAGAATAAGTTTGATCCATAAAGATGAGAAAAAATATTTTCGTTTTGACAGAGCACGGATATTCTATTGTGTAGCTTTGTAATAAGAAAACAAATAACAACAACTTAGGCACACGGTTGGTATGTCAACGATATATTTTGTTTTAAATATTTGCGCGATGTTACATAAAGGCTATTCGATATGATAGATTAGAGGGAAGGCAACTTAGTCAACAGCACCCACCGACAACTCTATGGCTACTCCAATTTCACCGTCACTATTATAACGCACTGACCACTCTAAAGTGCGGAGCGCGGTTTTGCGGCAACGGGACGAGAATCATGGATCATTGGATTCACAAACCGGCACAATAACCACTAAGCCACGGCTGGCACCTAATATATAAGTTTGTTTGTTTTGTAGTTAAGCACGAAGCTACACAAAGAGCTATCTGTGCTCTGCCCACCCAGGATATCGAAACCCGTATTCTGGCGTTGTAAGTCCGCAGACATACCGGTGTCAATTGCACTCAGTAAACTTCCAGTGCAAAAAGTATTACTTATTAAACGTGGAAATCTACAGTAAGCACACGACAAAAAAAATTTTTTTCTACTTTTCTTCCAAAACGTTTAGATATTTTTTTTAAAACTGAAAACTGCATTGACTTACCTTCTGCAACAGAAGAAAGACACGCAAAGTTCCCACCAATCCATTTCGCCGACTTCGAGTTTTAATTTCCGAAAATTCAAACTTGCAATGCAAACTTAATCTCTGTTTTTGTACATCGGCTTCGTGCGAGTCTTCTGTTATGGTGTATTACTAGTTTGACATGGACTGCAGCGAGCACGACCCGCGCTGCAGCAGTCTCAGTTCAAGCATCTGCTATATGTCCTTGTGTGTGTGTTAGTACAGGTTAATGGTCATATCAAGAGACAGAAATAAATTATGGCACAAGAAAATCAGAAGCAAAACCATCAAAGTTCAAGAAACAGAAGCAGCTCCACCTAGAACGAAGTGCGGCTGGTTATAGAATATTTCGTCTAGGAAAACGGCTTAAGGTAAGAATACGATACTAATGGGGGTGTTCCCGCCAGGTCTTTAAACGTTCGAATCCCAGTCAAACGTTTAGTCTGCACCTTGCCGCATGCTGTACGAAATATACGCTACCCACACACAGGTGCTCCACGTCACGACACACCGTGTCTTACCGGTTTGGTGGCACAAGAAACCTTCTATTGGCTAGCTAGATGGTTAGACTACAGTAGCCACACTAAATATTGACCAAACTGCTATAGTTATGTGGTAGGGTTGTGCTGCGGATCGAATCTGCAGAGAAACAAATTAGCACTGAGCAAACGGTTGAAACGGAATTCTGGTCACATTCAGCAGTGTCTTTGCCAGTGTGCTAATGCAGAAATCATATCCAGTCGGTAGCTGTCTTCCCTGATGTGCGTTAGTGTAAAAAAAATTAACACATCTTCCACTTCGCTGACATATTAAGCAGAAAACGTTCCGGCGCACACGCGCAGTAGAAGATCGCGAGCTGCGCTAGGGACAAAGCGGGTCCACGTTGCAGAGTGGAGTTTTCGTACACGTCTGAGGACAGAAGCTAAAGCATGATCATTACTAATTAAACAGTCTATTTGGAAGCTTCCGCTTTGTTATCGGGTATGCATGTGTTACGAAAACAAAAGAAATTAACTTAAGGACATTGATAAGGACTTGCCAATCAGCACCGATAACGGTCAGACCGCGCACGCAGGGATACAAACGGGTATGGTCGATAAGTGTTAAACTGCATTTACAAGAGAAAATGAAATAGTTTCCTTCATAGTGCCTCCCCCCCCCTTCCCTTCTCGCTTAGCGCACTATGTAATATATGTACACTGAATGGGAGGGGACGCTTAGAAAAAAATTAAAAAAAAACTGTTTTATTTAAATCATTCAGTTCGATCAGGGTTTGTTCTTCTCAGACGTTTCCGAGCTCACTACTTTATTGATCACGAGAAAGCTTGGAATATCGTTTTGACTCAAGTGGAAATTTACGACCAACGGGAACAAGCCTCCCATTTTCATCCCTTAAACAGATTTTTCACCCCTCCAAATTTACTTTTTGTACTTCAATCAAGATTAGCAGTAATATCGAAAGTTAAGTACCCCCCCTCGGTGGCTCAGCA